CCCCCCGCCAACAAACTTTAAAAAAGCCCATACAAAACAAAACAAAGACAAAAACCCAGTGCTCTTACAAGGGCTGTTCACTAAGCCTTTACTCTGACTATGTTTAACCCTGTCCGTACGCCCTGTGGTCATTTTGTACCCCCGGGGTTGTATTCTTCACATTTTTAGAACACATTTATAGTGCGAAGATCTCTTTGAAACTTTCAGTATTTCTGAAAAAAAAATACACGGATCGGATTAACAAGTAAATTACCTCTTTGAAAAGTGGTGGCACAGAGTTTCTCACCTCTAAGGGATACAATAGTACAATACGACGTACTGATAGGGTTAAAGACGCAAACTAGAAAGTTGAAATTTGACGCGCTCAGTGCTGCCACTTCTCTGCATAACAGTCACCCTGCAAATCGACACAGTTTTGCCCCCCTTTGTTTGACCTTCAAAAGTCCTTGAACATAATACTATTATGACCCCGAATGGGATTCCCAACTCTTCCTTCACCGCAGATAACAACATAGCATTTTCATCACTATGGAAACACTGTCCTTTGAGAAGTTTTTTTTTCTGATTTGATTTGAGAACAAGAAAAGGGAGAGGGTGATAGATCTTGTGAATAGGAAGGGTGGCTGAGGGAGAATTCTGTAGCCGCACTGCTTGCTGTCCGAGCTGTCTACACTCTAGAAAGATAGAGATATCATTGTCCAAGCTTCAAAGTTGAACGACATTTTCTTTCATAGTCAGGCTAAAGACTCAATTACCCCCCCTCCCCTCCCCAAACTTCGATCTTTCATGGTCAGAGTAAAAAAGTAAAGTTGTTCCCGCACGCGATCCGGACATTGGGGATTGCCTTGCTAGTGAGACAACTTCCTGGGCCTTCGGCATATTGTGGTAGGATGGCCAGTTCCTTTTCACGCCACCTTTACTTCCCCAACTCGAAGTCAGGTACCCATTACTGCTGGGTGGGCAGGAGGAGGCGAAAAAAAGTCGTGTCCGAACCGAGGTTCGAACCCGGACTTTCCACTTCGGAGACGAGAGCACTAACCGCTCCGCCACCTTCCCCATGGTCAGGGTGAAGACTCATTTATCACTATTCATTCTTTCATAGTCAGACACGTTAACATTGTCTCTTGTCAGACTAAAGGCGTAACCCTATCCGTACGCCATGGGGTCATTTTGTACCCCCGGGGTTGTATTCTTCACATTTTAGAATGCTTCTAGTGCGAAGATCTCTTTGAAACTTTCAGTACTTCTCAAAACATTATTTTGACAGACTGCTATGGAAAGCGTACGGATCGGATTAATGAGTAAATTTCTTCTTTGGAAAGTGGTGGCACAGAGTTCCCCACGTCGTATGGATACAGTAGTAAAACACGACGTACGGAAAGGGTTAATCACCATCACTCGTTCTTTAATAATCAGGGAAAAGACTCAGTCCCCACCACTTAGTTCTTTTATAGTCAGGCTGAAGACTCAACCGCTGGATGGTTGGCGGGTGCTCTGGTGTGGTTTGCTTCTTCTTTCCTATCAAACATCTATCGTCTTCATCTCCCCTCCTTCTTCTTTGTATTTGTTACTCTCTTGTAACACCTCTAATCTTCGGCACTTTTATGACCTTATTGTGTTGCAAGTGCTGCTAAACACTTACTAAAAGTAGTCTCAATCACCACACCTCATTCTTTCCTAGTCAGGGTAAAGACATAATACCCCCCAACCCCCCACACACCAGTTCTTTCACAGTTAGGGTAAAGACTCA